CTTAGTCAAGCACGAAGTTGCTTACATTACTTTTTTTTTTTTTAAGATTTTATTTATTTATTTGACAGAGATCACAAGTAGGCCGAGAGGCAGGCGAGGGGGCGGGGGCGGGGAACAGGCTACCTGCTGAGCAGAGAGCCTCGCAGGCGCCAGTTGCTTACATTACTTGATGCAAATCGCGCTGGTAGGTTATCTCCTTTCCTCTCAGTCAGACCAGGTTGTAAAAACTGTACCCGGTAGTACAGCCACTTTGGAAAACTGTTTAACAGTGCTTGTCAGAGCTAAGTCTTACTCACCCTGCGACCCAGCAATTCCCTCCAAATGGAATGAGTGCATACATCTACTCACGGCTTGTACAGGAGTGTTCGTGGGGTGCCTGCCTGGGTAGCTCAGTGGGTTAAAGCCTCTGCCTTCAGCTCAGGTCATGATCTCAGGGCCCTGGAATCAAGCCCCGCATCAGGCTCTCTGCTCGGCGGAAAGCCTGGTTCCCTTCCTCTCTCTGCCTGCCTCTCTGCCTACTTGTGATCTCTGTCTGTCAAATAAATAAATAAAATCTTTAAACAAAAAACACTGCTATGAACACTCTAAAAAAAAAAAAGAATAAATAATTTTTTTTTTTTAAAGAGTGTTCATAGCAGTGTTTTTTGTTTAAAGATTTTATTTATTTATTTGACAGACAGAGATCACAAGTAGGCAGAGAGGCAGGCAGAGAGAGAGAGACGAGGATGCAGGCTTCCTGCTGAGCAGAGAGCCCGATGCGGAACTCGATCCCAGGACCCTGAGATATGACCTGAGCCAAAGGCAGAGGCTTAACCCACTGAGCCACCCAGGTGCCCCTCATAGCAGCTTTGATCAGAGTAATCAATCACTGGTAACCCAAATCAGTAGTTGTGCCAGTAAATGAATTGTATTGTGGTTCTACAGTGAACTACTACCCACCCATGGGAAATAATTACTGAAAAAGACAACAATTTGGATGCATATCACAAACACTGTTGAGTTGGCTCAAAAGAGAACACTAAATGATCCCATTTATATGAAGTTTAGAATACAACTTCCAAACAAGTGATCTTCTAACTTCTGGGAAATAATATGGCAATATGAATCAAGAATCTTAAAATATTGGGTCTCCTGGCTCCCTTTAGAGCATGCAACTCTTGATCTCTGGGTCATGAGTTTGAGCTCCACATTGGGCAAAGAGATGACTTAAAAAATAGTTTTAAAATGAAGGAGTTTTATAGGCAAATAGTGAGAATAAGGAAGTTATACTAGACAAAAAGGTAGATTGTTAGGGCAAAGTCACTTTGCTTTAGAAGATGGCAGGGGGTCTATCAGGCAAATTACCTAACTAGTACTGATTAGGTGATTTACTGATTGATTGGTGTAAGATCCCATTTCTGGGAGAACCCAAATTACAGTTACCTTAAGTCTTCTTTTGGTGATGTGGGGCTAAACATAAGTGACACCATTTTATGGTGGTCTTGTTTTTAACACTAGGATATGTGGGGGTATATATACCCCCCTAAAAGAATATGTAGAGGTGGGAGTGGGAGGAGCAGTGATGGGTGATATGGAGGAATTCATAACTCAGTCAACAGACCACTATTTAAGCATGAAACAGTGCTGCCCTGCATTCCCTCTAACTTCCAGGTACAGAATAAACCAGTTATCAAAAGAGAGTTCCTTGCAGAACAAGAGACAGACAATTCCAGTTCCATGTGGTTAGGCATAGGATAGGATGGCAGGAACTCTGAAGGAAAGTGGGATTCTCACAAGCTGAAGTGGGAGAATCGAGTCAGGAAGTGACCCTAAGCAGTCCACCCTTCAGTAGGGTTCTAAAGGTAGAAAAGAAAAGTGACAAGCAAATGGTCCGTTCCTAGATATCACAGCAACAAGTGGTAGGGAAGGCATTCAAGCATATTAAAGTGTCCCAGTCCTTGAATATTCTCAAGATGTGCTGCATTAGAGGATCAATCTAATAAATAAAAGCTTTTCATACCTCTAATCTTGCAAGTCCTGCTGGGAAAATTGTTTTTTAAATTGACTAGGAGTTGGACTACAAGTATGCAAACAGTTATATTCTGTATTCTTTTTTTTTTAAGATTTTATTTATTGGGGCACCTGGGTGGCTCAGTGGGTTAAGCCTCTGCCTTCAGCTCAGGTCATGATCTCAGGGTCCTGGGATCGAGCCCCACATCAGGCTCTCTGCTCAGCGGGAAGCCTGCTTCCCTCCTCTCTCTCTGCCTGCCTCTCTGCCTACTTGTGATTTCTCTCTCCGTCAAATAAATAAAATCTTTTTAAAAATAAAAAGATTTTATTTATTTATTTGAGAGAGAGAGAGAGAGAGAGCATGAGCAGGATGAGGGGCATAGAGAGAAGCAGATTCCCTGCTGAGCAGGGAGTCCAATGTGGGGCTTGATCCCAGGACTCTGGGATTTTGACCTGAGCCTAAGGCAGATGCTTAACTGACTGAGCCACCCAGGTGCTCTATGTTCTGTGTTCTATAGAATTTATACAAATGATCTTCTGTCTCCAAAAAAAAGTTAATAAAGAATAGAGACATCGAGGCACTTGGCTAGCTCTGTCATTAGAACAACAACTCTTGATGTTGGGACTGCGAGTTGGAGCCCCACATTGGGCAGAGAGCTTACTTTAAAAGAGGAGGGAGTTACCCAGGTGGCTCAGTCATTTAAGTGGCTGCCTTCAGCTCTGGTAATGGTCATGATCCTGGAGTCCTAGGATCCATCGATCTGCATCAGGCTCCATGCTGAGTGAGAAGCTTGCTTCTCCCTCTGCCCCTCCCCCTGTTGATGTTCTCTCTCTCGCTCAAATAAATAAAATCCTTTTTTAATTTTTTTATTTATTTTTTATTTATTTACTTTAATTAAATTTAATATTTTATTTATTTATTTATTTATTTATTTGACAGAGAGAGAGAGAGAGCACAGTAGGGGGAGCAGCAGGCAGAGAGAGAGAGAGGAAAAAGTAGCCTCCTCATTGAACAGGGAGCCCAGTGCAGGGCTCCATCCCAGTACCCTGGGATCATGACCTGAGCCAAAGGCAGATGCTTCACCACTTAAGCGACTGAGCCACCCAGCCAGCCCCCCCGCCTTTTTTTTAAGTTTCATTCATTTATTTGACAGAGAGAGGGAGTACAAACAAGGGAAGGGGCAGGCAGAGGGAGAGGGAAAAGCAGGCTCCTTGTTGAGCAAGGAGCCTGATTCGGGACTTGATCCCAGGGTCCTGGGATCGAGCCCCACATCGGGTTCCCTGCTCAGCAGGGAGCCTGCTTCCCTCTCTCTCTCTCTCTCTGCCTGCCTCTCTGCCTACTTGTGATCTCTGTCAAATAAATACATAAAATCCTTAAAAAAAAAAAAAACTGTTGCAGACTGTTATGGATTAGAGACTTAGGGGAAAAAATCAACTGAGCAAAATTAAAGATCTAATTGGCTTTGTTAAGTGATTCATAAATCCTTCAGCATCCCATCCAGCAAAAGAAAGGAACTCCAAGGAGCTACCCAAAAGGAAGGTTTTTAGGGGCTCCTGGGTGGCTCAGTGGGTTAAAGCCTCTGCCTTCGGCTCAGGTCAATGTCTCAGGGTCCTGGAATCTAGGCCTGTGTTGGGCTCTCTGCTCAGCAGGGAGCCTGCCTCCCTGCCTACTTGTGATCTCTCTGTCAAATAAATAAAATCTTTTTTAAAAATTTAAAATATTTAAAAATGAAGGTTTTTATAAACAAATGGAGTGGGACAATTGGCAAAAGAAAAGTAAGAATCATTTCAGGTAAGGTCACCTCTTGAGAACGAGGCAGTCTTACTAGGTGGAATACCTCAACTTTGGAGAATGGAGAAGGCCAATGTGACAGTGTTGGGGAGGAAAAATTTCCTGTACCATTTAAAATTCTTTAAGCTAGTGTAAGAATAAAATCGACATGAGACAGATTAACAGGAAAAAAAGCCAAGTTAATTACATGTGCAGGGAAGCCCAATAACAAAATTCAGATCCAAGGAAGTGACTAGGACAGGTAGTTTTTTACATTTCTAGACAATGAGACAATAAATCTGTGAGCAATTAACAGGACAAAGAAAATTCTTCATGAGCTTCAGTAGGTAAGGAATTTTTTTATTTATTTTTATTATTTTTTTTTTTAGGTAAGGAATTTTAAACAGAATTAATGTTGGATAGCAAACTAGTAGAAAGTAACAGCATTATTTATATAGCCTTCTCAGGTCTAAATTCCATATCTCTGGAGATAAGGCTGTATCTTTACCTCCTGGTACAGAGAGGATACCTTTCACATGGGAGATTTATCTCCTGTTTTCCTGGAGACAAAGGAGCATCAGGAGACAAAGGAACATCAAAGTTCTTATTGAATTGGCTGTTTAAGTAATTTTATTTAAAATAATTAGCATAGGGGCACCTGGTGGCTCAATGGGTTGAAACCTCTGCCTTCAGCTCAGGTCATGATCCCAGGGTCCTGGGATCAAGCCCCATATCCGGCTCTCTGCTCAGCAGGGAGCCTGCCTCCCTTCCTGTCTCTCTGCCTGTCTCTCTGCCTACTTGTGATCTCTGTCAAATAAATAAATAGGGTCTCTAAAAATAAAATAAAATATTAAGCATACAGGACACCTGGCTGGCTCAGTCAGTTAAGCATCAACTCTTGATTTTGGTTCAAGTCATGATCTCAGGGTCATGAGATGGAGCCCCACATGGGGCTCTACGCTCAGGGGGAAGTCTGCTTGTCCATCTCCCTCTGCTCCTCCCCACCCTAATATATAGATAAAATCTATAAATAAATAAATAGGGGTGCACGGGTGGCTTGATGGGTTAAGTGTCCCAAGTCCATTTGGGCTCAGGTCATGATCTCAGGGTTGTGAGATTGAGCCCTGGGCTCTGAGCTCAACATAGAGTCCACTTGGGATTCTCCCTCTGCCCCTTTCCCCTGCTCACAAGCTATAAATAAATAAATAAATAATTGAAATAAATAAATAAAACAATCAGTATGCCAAAGTAGCACCTTTTGGCTGGCCTCTGCTGGGTCCTCATGCTATGATGGCCCACCTGGAGCCTCCCAGGCAGCGTCCTAGAATCTCCGTAGGAGTAGTGGTGACTAGCAGCCAGCATCCTCTTTGTTTCCTCCCGCAAGAGGAAAGGGTCAGTTGGAGATGCAGTTTTCAATTCCCTGGGGCCATTTGGAGTTTGGTGAAACATGGGAAGAAGCAGCTCTTCACCTGAAAAATACCCTCTTTGCCTTAGTTGTGAATTTCTTTGTTGAGAAAGAAAATTACCATTATGTGACCGTACTAAGGAAAGGAGAGGTAGATCTGACTCATGACCCAGAACCAAAGATTACAGAGCCTAAAAAAAATGAAAGGTGTGAGCGCGTTCCCTGGGAAGAATTTTCTCCTTTGGACCAGCTTTTCTGGGCACTGCGTTGTTTAAAGGAACAAGGCTACAATCCATTTAAAGAAGACTTGGATCACCTGGTAGAACACAAAGAACATCATCTTTGGGGAACAAGAAGAGAACCTGATTTATTTTAAAAAGACAAAGTCTTGTTAGAGAATGAAAAATATCTACATTTATGAACAACTTTTTTTTTTTAAGATTTTATTTATTTATCTGACATCACAAGTAGGCAGGGAGGCAGGAGAGGGAAAGAGGGAAGCAGGCTCCCTGCTGAGCAGAGAGTCTGATGTGGGGCTGGATCCCGGGATCCTGAGATCATGACCCAAGCCGAAGGCAGAGGCTTAACCCACTGAGCCATGCAGGTGCCCTGAACAACTCCCTTTTGTCTAAAAAGTTCCATATGAGTGTCAATTTATTTGATCTCTCTTAATATAGCCACTACCCTTTCAGGCAGTACTTGTGAAAAAATTGTCATTATGTCATGAATTGCATTTCAGACTCAATGTGATAAATGGTGATGTTGTAGCAAAAAAAAAAAAAACAAAACACATTTTGGGTTGGCTTAACCTTGACCCCTACAACAGATTATGTCACTGGTACTGACCAGAGAATCCCTAACTGACCAAGTAAGACTACATTGCTGAAGGAAGTTGAAACTGCAATTAGGTTAGGGATTAAACGCTATGGCCTAACATAAGTGACTCCATTTTGGACCTGTGATTTTCTTTTTAACGACACATACCACCCAAATGCAAAGTGTGCTTTTGTTTCGAACCTGAATTTAACAAACTGACTTAAAAAAAGAAAGAAAGAAAAATTTTTGGTAAAATGAGGATGTGAACATGGAATGGGTGGATATTACATGGCAGTAAAAAAATTGTTAAATTTTTTGGGGTGCCTGGGTGGCTCAGATGGTTAAGTGTCCGCCTTCAGGGGCTCCTGGGTGGCTCAGTGGGTTAAAGCCTCTGCCTTCGGCTCAGGTCATGATTCCAGGGTCCTGGGATCGAGCCCCACATCAGGCTCTCTGCTCACCAGGGAGCCTGCTTCCCTTCCTCTCTCTCTGCCTGCCTCTGCCTACTTGTGATCTCTGTGTGTCAAATAAATAAATAAAATCTCAAAAAAAAAAAAAAAAGTGTCTGCCTTCAGGTCATGATCTCCACATTCTAGGACTGAGCCCAACATCGGGCTCCCAGCTTAGCAGAGAGTCTGCTTCTCCCTCTCCTTCTTCTTCTCTACCTCTTTGTCTCTCTCTCAAATGAATAAATTAAAAAAAAAAAATCTTTAAAACAGAATTGTTCAATTTTTTACATGTAACTGATATTTGGTTAAAATTTTTAATTTTTTTTTTTTTGAGACAGCATGTGTGAGCTGGGCAGAAGGGGCAAAGGGAGAGAGAGAATCTTAAGCAGGTTCAACTTGGGGCTCGATCTCATGACCCTGACATCATGACCCAAACTAAAATCAAGAGTCAGACACTTAAAATGACTGAGCCACCCGGGTACCCCTGATTAAATTTTTAAAATATTTTCTTATTAGTTACATTCTGAATTATTTGTGGGTTAAATGGTATATTAAATGATAAGATGGTATTTGCTTTAAAACATTCCAGCCAAGAACATCAGCAGAAATGGTTAATAAGGACATCCAAAAAAACTTCTTTGTAAAACAACACATTGGCAAAAATTTCTCAAAATCAACCTTTTCAGTTTTTCAGAACTTGAGAAATTAACTAAGGGTTTGCAACAATTTGAGGAATGCTTATTTTTTGTTTGTTTTACATGGCTGAATATCCTTAAGGGGGAAAGGGAGGAAAGAGGGAGACAGATGACACAAGTTGGCTAAGTGATAGATAATTAGAGTTCATTATGCTATTCTGTTTTTGTATGTATTTGAAATTTTCTTTATTCCTTTTTTTAAGAAAGATTTTATTTATTTAGAGAGAACACATGAGCTAGGGTAGGGGGGAGAAGGCAAAGGGAGAGGGAGAGAAAGAATCCCTAGCAGACGCCACACTGAGCTCAAAGCCTTACAAAGGGCTCGATCTCACAACCCTGAGATCATGACCTGAGCCAAAATCAAGAGTCGGACACTTTTTTGGGTTTTTGTTTTTAAGATTTTATTTATTTATTTATTTGACAGAGAAAGAGTGAGAGAGGGAACACAGGCAGGGGGAGTGGGAAGGGAAAAGCATGCTCCCCACTGAGCAGGGAGCTTGATGCAGGGCTGGATCCCAGGACCCTGGGATCATCACCTGAGCCAAAGGCAGATGTTTAACAACTGAGCCACCCAGGCACCCTGAAATTCTCTTTAAATAAAGGTTTAGGGGTGCCTAGGTGGCCCAGTTGGTTAAGCGACTGCCTTCGGCTCAGGTCATGATCCCAGGGTCTTGGGATCGAGTCCTGCATCAGGAGGGGAGCTGCTTCTCCCTCTGCCTGCCACTCCCTCTCCCTCAGACCCTCCCCCTTGCTCGTGCTCCCGTACTCTTGTGTGCTCTCTCTCTTTCTCGAATAAATAAAAAAACAATCTTTAGGGGCGCCTGGATGGCTCAGTGGGTTAAACCTCTGCCTTCCACTCAGGTCATGATCTCAGGGTCCTGGGATCAAGCCCCACATCGGGCTCCCTGCTCAGCAGGGAGCCTGCTTCCCGTCCCCCGCCTGCCTCTCTACCTACTTGTGATCTCTCTCTCTCTCAAATAAATAGATAAAAATCTTTTTAAAAAAATCTTTAAGGGGCACCTGGGTGGCTCAGTTGGTTAAACGACTGCCTTCGGCTCAGGTCATGATCCTGGAGTCCCGGGATCGAGTGCCACATCAGGCTCCCAGCTCCGTGGGGAGTCTGCTTCTCCTTCTGATCTTCTCCCCTCTCGTGCTCGCGCTCTCTCTCTCTCTCTCTCTCTCTCTCTCAAATAAATAAATAAATAATCTTAAAAACAAAAACTTAAAAAAAATAAAAGGTTGAGTAATTGCCTCATTATTTTGGGGGGATTAATACATGTAAATGGCACCAAATTAAAGATACAAGGAGGAAAACAGTGAAAAGATGGTCATTCTCACACCATGACAACTCTCTAGACACAGCCACTCACCAAAAACTGTGCCTTTGCAAAGACACATATATGAAAACATTGTACACAAGATTTCTTTTCCTACAGAAATAAGATACTATACAAACTTATCTTGCTTCTCCTGTGGCAATATATCTTGACTCTTCTCCTTCTCAGTTCACATACAGATATAGCCTTCATCCTTTTAATAGCCTGTTGGTTTTCTGTTGCATGGATGAACAGTTTAATTTACTTAATGAGTGCTCTACTAATAGCACTTAGGTTACTTTTTTAAATTTATTTTTTTAAGTTTATTTATTAAGTAATCTCTAGCCCCAACATGCGGCTCAAACTCATGACCCCGAGATCAGGAGTTGCATGCTCTTCTAACTATGCCAGTCAGGCATTTCTGCTAATACAAATAACACTGCAATCACCATCACCGTATGTTCTTTCTTTTTTTTGAGTTTATTAATTTAAGTAATCTCTCCACCTAGCTAAAGTGTCTGAATTAAAAGACCGAAGAAAGTAATGCATACAGTTTCTTTAAATATACAGTTCTAATGCTTTCAGGAAAATTCATGTTAGAATACCGCATACACAGCTACAGATTTGGCCTACATAGCATGCCAGGGGTTAAGAACACTGGCCCTCATGTCAATAGGCCTGAATCAGAGTGTTGATTCTACCACCCAGTGAACTGACACTGGCTTCTATTACCTCCACTGCTGAAAAGAAGAAAGAAAAAGAGAGAGATAACAGGCCAAAAATGGAGTTGCTTATGCTAAGCCCCACATCAGCAAACCGAGACTTAACTATCTAAAGTAACTGCTATTTCAGCCTTTCCCAGGAATGTGACTTTTAACCAGTCCATCAGAATTACCTAATCAGCACTGGTGAGGTCATCTACATAATAGACTAAATTCAGGGACCTCAGTCCTCATTCCAGGGTTTGTCCTTCACTTTGAACATACTCAAATACCTCTATTAAAACTTCATCCCAGGGGCGCCTGGGTGGCTCAGTGGGTTAAGCCGCTGCCTTCGGCTCAGGTCATGATCTCGGAGTCCTGGGATCGAGCCCCGCGTCGGGCTCTCTGCTCAGCGGGGAGCCTGCTTCCTCCTCTCTCTCTGCCTGCTTGTGATCTATCAAATAAATAAAAATAAGATCTTAAAAAAAAAAACAAAACTTCATCCCATTTTGTGTCAATACTTTTCTATCACTAGGAATCCCATTAACCACAGAAATCTGTGTTCAGATTTTTTCTGGAGTTTACATTTTATCTCTTCTTATTTACTGACTGCATAATATTGATTTTTCTGAGTTTCACGTTTTTCCTTGGTAAATGGAATAACATGGCTTAGTCTTCAAAATAAATTATAAATCTGACCACATATCTCCGGTGCTCTGAAAAGGTTCAGAATAAGCTTCTCCAAAAAGTGCCACTTAAGCATGCAGATTACTTTGAGCTGAAGTCAATCAAGGCCCAAAAGACTCAAGAAGATCTTTTTACCTCCCCTATAACTGTCTGAAATAATGAGATAGAGGGCGTGGTTCAAGGAAGAGGACTATCACCAGGAATAACTGCAAACAATATGGGGTAGGCATGGTAAACTGTGGGGGAAGCTGGCAGGGCCTGGAGATTGAATTCCTCTGCATCCCACTGCAAAGACATCTTTCCATAAATTGTCTTCCTCCCCTTAGAAGTCCCAGACCCCTACGCTCTTCTTACTTCAGCACAGCATATAAGCCTCAATTGCCTGATGGTGGGCTTAATTTTTTTTAATTGGCTCTATGCCCAGTGTGGGGGTTTGAGCTCATGACCCTGAGATCAAGAGTGCGTGCTCTACGTGGCAGCACCCTGCCCCATGTGGATCTCCTATTCTTATGGAGCTTCTGTACATGTATAATTAAATTTATTTTTCTCATTAATCTGTTTTATGTTAATTTAATTAATAGACCAGCCAAAGGAATCTGGAAGTGTAATGGAAAAAATTTTCTTCCCCTACAGTTATTCTAGTCCAGATATAGGCAGACTGTGCCTGCAGTCTAGTTAAAAAGTTTTACATTTTTAAAGGGTTAAAAAAAAAAAA